CCTCTCCCCCCCTCATTCTTTCCCTATCCCTCTCTCAAAAATAAACATTAAAAAAAGTATGGAAAATATGTCTTTTATGTAGGAGTTTTGAAAAAAATGATGTCATTTTTCATATTCAAGTCCAAACCTGGCAACATGGAATCCAATCTCTAGTTGTGAAAACAGGTGCAGCAGGCACACCTGTGCACCAGTTCCTTGGGCTTCAGGCCTCCACATTCGACCTGGTGCTTCTGTCCCCTGTACAACTGCATCTGTGACAAGCTGGCAGGGAGAGTGCTGGGCCAGGGACAGCACAGGGCTCCCTCCTGACATTACTGGCCCTGCTGTTACCCCCTGAAGTTCAGGAGAGGCTGGGAGCAGCAGTCACTGACATGTCACGGTAGTCCTGGAAGCCTGCCCAGTCGAGTGAGCACCGTCCCAGCTTCAGGCAGTCTGGCCACAGAGTCAGAGAACAGGGTAACTATTCCATTCCACTCTACACTCCCACCTTACTTCCTTTCTTTGAATCTGTGTGCTTCAACGAAGGCAGTACAAACAAATGCCTAAGGTTCTCAATTGCTTTAAATTTTTTTCAAATGTTTATTTATTTTTGAGAGAGAGTGGAAATGGGGGAGGGGCAAAGAGAGGGGGGGACAGAGGATCCGAAGTGGGCTCTGTGCTGACAGCAGTGAGCCCGATGTGGGGCTTGAACTCACAAACCGTGAGATCATGAGCTGGACCAAAGTTCAAAACTCAACTGACTGGGCCCCCCAGGTGCCCCAGGTTCTCAACTGCTTTAAGCCAGCTCTCTTCCATCCTTTAGCATGATAACCATGTCCTCTGGGGCTCAGAGTCTACAAACCTCTTCTTTTGTCTACATCCTTTTCTAAACGATCTTTTTCCAGAGAAGAGTGGTTCTCTGAGGGCCACTCATATGCTATCTCAGCCAAATGCCTCACTTTAAAACTCCTTAAAATATTTTTCTCAAGAAACAGTACTCTGAACATGTCTTAAGAAATTACTGAAGACAAGAGTTAAATGGGGTAAAAATGCCCAAATGAGAACTGTCATTGAAACAACAGGTATGGAAGGGTGATCTTGGGCACAGCGCTGGTCTCAGCCTCTGAATGTGAGGGGCTTGAGATATTCAGAGCTGCTCCCCTACATCTGGAACCTTTCTTTAAAAACAAGGGTGAGACAGTTTCTCAATTCTAGCAGGTGATTTTTACCCACAGGACCAAGACAAAAAGGGGAGAAAACATTTTGTTAAATCTTACACAGCTGGTACTTTTTAGATCAGAACAGAAACCTGAGGAAAAGTTACAGGAGTCAGCAAATTAATAGTACCCCTTAGAGTTTTCACTCTTTCTTTTAAAAAATGTTTATTTTTGAGAGAGACAGTGTGAGCAGAGGAGGGGCAGAGAGAGAGGGGGACAGAGGTTCCAAAGCAGGTTCTGCACGCTGACAGCAGTGAGCCCAATGCGGGGCTTGAACTCACAAACTGTGAAATCATGACCAGAGTTGAAGTCAGATGCTCAGCCAACTGAGCCACCAGACGCCTCAGAGCTGTCACTTTTTAAGTGCTAACCTGCTAGTAAAGGATCAGTATCTACTGATTCTTTATCTGCTGAATTATTTTTACTATCTACTGGTAACATTATTCCCCACGTTCTCTTATCTGTAAGAATTAAACAGGGGCCACAATAAGTCTTCTGAAATACGCCTCCTGTGCATTTCCTACGGAGATACACCACTACTCCCTATTCAACGAAGCAAAAGAAAGGTCCACAGACCTTCTTGAGTTTCTGAGCTCAAGTTGGTTGGTTCCATGTCCCCTGATCTCCCCGAGGAGGATATAATTATTTTCTCTCAAAGCCAACTTGAAGCTTTGCTTCAGAATAATATAAGGTGATGGTACACAAATGGATCCAACTCCCTGATACTTAAGTAACAAAAATTCTCCACAGCCTATGAAATAACAGCAACAGAATAATGATTAGCACTATCTGGGTGGCAAACTAAGATGGTCAGTAACTATTAAAGTTATCATCTCCCTCTGTTGCTAATGGCGAACAAGTGATTTTGAGAGCAGCAGCTGCCAGGAGGTAGTTATTTCTAGTTGTTAGTTTGCCATTACTGGGGCAGGATGAGGGGGAGAATGTCACCTTATGTTGTTAAACTTTTGCTATTTTGTAAAACCAAAACACTAACAGTAACTACTGGAGGGTCCAGGAAGTACTGAGCAGATACTGAGACATTATAAAGAGCCATGGTTTATGACAATATAGCAAGAAGTCCCCCCACCCCCCAGCAATCTCCAAAACCTTAATGGAAGCTTTTTTTTTTTCTATTATTTATTCATTCATTCATTTAATGAGAGCATGCTTTCATGCTGGGGCAGGGGAGATACAGAAGGAGAGATGGAGAATCCCAAGCAGGCTCCAGGCTAAGCATGGAGCCCAGTGTTGGGCTCAATCCCATGATCCTGGGCCAAAATCAAGAGTCTGAGGCTCAACCAATGAAGTCAGCCAGGTGTCCCTCTCTTTGTTTAAAAAACAAAAAAACAAAAAAGCTTTCAAAAGAATGTAGAACTTTAAACTCAGAGCTACTGAAGGGGAATGTCAATCCATCAGCTATTTTCTACAAAAACAAGTGGCAAAACTCTATATCTGAAGTGTCATTAAAGCAAGGAATCTGGAAAGAGGAGTAAACAATGAAAGTAAGGAAGACATAAAAGGTTACCTGAGAATTTTGTTTTCTCTATTGCATTATCCAAATAGTATACATATATTTTTTACTGTAGTTAGAAGAGTTAACATGATATGTACCCTCGTAACAAATTTTTATGTGCACAATACAGTATTGTTAACTGCATGCACAATCGTCTTGCTTAACTGAAACTTTATACCTGTTCAACAGCAGCTTCCCATTTCCTCCTCCCTCCAGCCATTGACGACCACAATTTTAGTCTCTATTTCTAGGAGTCTGGCCATTTTAGACACCTCACTTAAGTGGAATCATGCAATATCTGTCCTGTGACTGGCTTATTTCACTTACTATAATGAATTGAGCATTGAAAAGATAGCTAGGTGAAATTTTTAGGAAGTAGTTAACTGGCCAAAAGTATATTTGATTAAAAACTATACAACACAGTAATCTCAAACTATATTACCAGTACCCCCAAAAGATTTTCAACAGAGAGGATGTGGCTAGCACTTGGGTAGGAGTTTATGATACTAGTATAATCCGACATCCTTGCATTACAAGCCTTTCCCTTTCATTATGTAGATTCCTCCCATTTAAACTAATCATAAAAGTCAATAATTAAAACAAGCTTAAGAAAATCATTTGCTAGAGTGTCCTGCACAGTTTTACTTTGCATCTGCAGAGATCAAACTGCTTCTACTAGGATCACTAGGTTGTAAGGTGAAAGCAAATGGAAAAATCCAGGAGTGCATTTAAAATTAGACGCCAGGGCATAACCAAAGGTATAGCACTAGCTCAAAAGTTAGCTGAGGGCCAGGAAGCCAGTAAGATTAGAGGTGCCAAGTATCCCATCTATAAGCAAACCGAAAAGCAAGTAATTCAACGCTTGGCTATTAGGGAAACTGTGGTCTAAAATAAAATATGCTCAACAGAGAAGGGCAGAGAGGCCCTTCCCAAAAGTTTATGCTAATTAACAATAAGCAATATTAACTTTAAAATAGGAGGAGTTTGGGATAAAGATGGAAACCCTGAAAACTTTTGACACCTATCTCAATATAACACAAAAAACATGACCTCTTCATTTTCCAAGTAATGTTTCAGATACTCAGAAGTAAACAGTGACCATAAAGTTTTTATTTTTTAAAGAAACGTCAAAAGTCTGAAAGTATAAGGTTGAACCTTGCGCAAGCGCCATTTTTTGAACACCAAGAAGTTCAAGTATCAGAAATTTTGTATGGTTCAACCAAAGAAAAGAGAAGCTTAATACAATGCTAAGAATAAAAATCTGAAGACACGCTAATATTCTGTGGCTTCCAAAGGACATTTACTTCTACAGGAAAATATTACTGAAGCAAGAAAAGGGTTTTTAATATTCTATGCTAAATGTACGCCTCAAGTCACATGATACTGTGGCCATTCGGTGGCCATGTAAATAAGCCTAAAAATCATATTTTCCATTTATAACCATCTTTTTTTTCCTTTTTTTGTCTACAATATGACAATTCTATTCCCAATAGATTTCTCCATCCCTCTCTTTGGACCCCAAATCCAGCTATTCATGGCAAAACTTCAAGCACATAGTCCTTCTGTGCCCACATACACCCCACTTCTCAATCTATAATTCATCGCGATCTCCTACTCACTCCATCCCTTCTCTACTGCTCTACTTTCTTCCAACTTTGGCACGCTGACAGTCCCATCTGTCCATGGCAGGTTCCCCCCACCCCTTTCCTTTTAATACACCGGTGATCTAATCATTCCAGCATAGAATGTGACAATTTGTATCGGCCTTAGTCCCTCTGCCATTCCCATACAGTTGAGCTCTGTTGTTGTAAACAATGCATAGGAGATTTGGTCTTGTAACTTTCCATTTCTGCCATATCTAGATCTTGGTGGCTTTCTCAAAAAAAAAAAAAAAAAAAAAAAAAAAAGAAAGAAAAAAGAAAAAGAAAGAAAAAAAGAAAAAATCATTCTCTGTGGTAGTATTAAAACAAAACAACACACCCCTGAAAGTAACTTTCTCGATTCCTGAATATGTGCACAGTCTGAGTGACCCGACGTTAAGTATTAGGGAAGTCGTTTGTGACAGCAGGGGGATCTCAACGTGCTTCCACATTTTGCGATGACGGCCAGGTTCAGAATAGTGCAGGTACATTTCTGACTCTCATTCCATTGGAATTAATCATTTTCTAACTTTGATTCTGATAGTTACAGAAGCAAATATGGTGATGTTACCAACAGAATGACAACCAAAATATTTGATATCCCACTGTTTTGAACGACCATGCACAACCACCCGCCCTGCATTTACATACCTTGAATTTGCTATTTCCACTTTGGTTCTCGCCATGGCAGCTGCCCTTTGCGCGCCTTCAATTGCTCGGTCCACCTTCTCCCTAGTTTTTGTATTTCTTATTGGTATAAGCTGCTTCCTTATTCCACGGACCAGAATATTATTTTTGTATTTCCCCTCTTCTTTGGAGCCGTCGGGAAACACGGTGCAGCCATATCCATGCCTCTTGTTATTTGCCCACTCTCCTTCATATTTCATGCCGTTGGAGCGCTCGCTAACGCCAAAACCATTTCGCTTGTCGTTCTTCCACTCGCCCATGTAGGTTTCCGTGGTGGTGGCATCGACGTGGTCTTCCACCGGGCAAAAATCACAATCTACGTCGCCGAAGCTGATCGTAGAGTTGGCATCGCTGGAACTAATTCTGCTCATGGCCGCGTCGCTGCGGACCGAGCTGCGTTTGCTGGAGATGGAAGACTTGGATTCGGACTTGCGAAGTTTCATGCTTCCGAGAAGGGAGCCCCTTCGGAAGAGGCCGCCCTTCTTCTTGCCCGCGAGCTCCGCGTCGGCGTGGAAGTTGAGCACGAAGCCGCCGCGGGTGCCGGCGGGGCTGTCGGCAGCGGCCGCGGCATCGTGGAGCACGCTGCCATTGCTCTGCTCGCTGCGCAGCGAGGCCATGGACGTGCGCAGCGGCGAGCGGATCACGGTGGCCATGCCGTAGGGCACGCTCTGGCGCACGCCGTAGCCATGCCGCATGCCGCCGGCCCATTGGCCCTGGTAAGTACCTTCGAGAGAGACGGCAAGAAAGCACAATGTGAGTTGGGGGCGGAAGGGGTGCGATCTCGCCTGCCAGCACCTGGGTGCGTCCCAGGAGAGCCCGGTACTCAGAGCAGGCAGGTTCACGGTCAAATCCTACACGTATCCAAGTCAACTCTAAGTGACACCTTACGTTTCATCCACTTGTGGGTTCCCGCCCTGTAATTTTGTGTCAGTGGTTTCAATGTAATTGTTTAGCATTTTCCAAGTTTGGTCATTTTCCTTTTCATTTAAAAATTTATACGAATGTTTCAGATGAAACCACCACTTTCTAATACAAAAAGAGTGATCGTTAGAAAACAACTTTTCTCCCCTGATCAAAATCCCTCATAGGAAGGCAGTGTCACAGAAGATGAAATGAGTTCTCTTCCTGAATTTTAATTTTACTCATTCAGCTGAAAAGCTCTAAAAGCTCTAGGTCTGTCACAATAACATTCCAACAAGCTAAAAGACTTAAAATTGTTAATGATCGGGACATGGGTCATCAAACACATTATTTTACTTTACATTTTCTTTCTTTCATGTTCACCATCTTTTTTTAGGGCAGGGAAAACTTTAATATTTAGGATTAGATTTGGGAGAAATTTTTGAAGCAAAGACTGATTTGACATATATGATACAGATCCTGAATATTGTGGGACATGAAAAAAACGGGCAATTTAACATTTTGTACTTCCAGGTGAAATGGTCAAAGATTTGCCCTGTACTCGTTGCCAGATTTCTGCTTTCTCCCGTCATTCTCTTCATGGATTTCCCTAGTCACTGCCACTACATGAGCCACATCATGGACTAGAAGCACTCAGAGAGCAGGAGTTCCCTCCTAAGCGAGAGCAAAATTTCCAGTCTCACGGCTTATGTGTCTTGTGGTCTGCAGGTGTTGATGACTTTATAGTAAACAGCTATGATGGCTCAAAAGAATATGCTATTTACCCCTAGAAAAACTGGACTAAGGCCAAAGTAAAACTTCCATTCTTTAACAGTCTGGAATTCATCTCAGAGCAAAGGGGTGTTTGACAGTGTCCCTCAAAACTCTGTTGACACCAGATCACTTCAATGAATATTATGCCTTTTTAGGAATAGGATAATCTCTAATCTAAAGCATTTGTGCTCAGTAGACTTTTCTATTAAACAAGTTAGCAAAATAACATAGTGCTGCTTTTAAAATAATCACATGAAAAACTGAATACTAAAATTAGGGAACTTATGGGTGGCTCAGTCAGCTGCAGGACTCTTGATTTTTAGCTCAGGTCATGACCTCACAGTTTGGGAGTTTGAGCCCCGCGTTGGGCTCTGCCCTGGTGGTATGGAGCCTGCTTGGGATTCTCTCTGCCCCTTACCTGCTCTCTCTCTCTCTCAAAATAAATATAAGTAAACTTTAAAAAATATTAGGGAACATAGGGAAAAAATTGAATTTAGGAGTTTAGAATTTTCTTTTCAAAATCAAGGCCATTTCCTTTACTTAAAGGCACATTTAAAATTTTTTTTTTCAACGTTTATTTATTTTTTTTGGGACAGAGAGAGACAGAGCATGAACGGGGGAGGGGCAGAGAGAGAGGGAGACACAGAATCGGAAACAGGCTCCAGGCTCTGAGCCATCAGCCCAGAGCCTGACGCGGGGCTCGAACTCACGGACTGCGAGATCCTGACCTGGCTGAAGTCGGACGCTTAACCGACTGCGCCACCCAGGCGCCCCGAGGCACATTTTAAATTACAGTATCCCCCAGAAGTTATCTAGAAATTTTAAGATGTAAGTATTTCTGTATGATTCATAGTAACTCACAATATCATAGAAAATAAATTACAGCGATATAATTATTTGATGTAATCAAATGTCTTGACCTCTCTCAGTTTCTGATTATATAGATCCACCTTGCAGTCGCCTTTCATTTTATATTGCTACACACAGATTTCCACTGTGTGGCATACATTTACTTTTTAAATACTGAGCAATGATGCTAGTGGTTTTGTACCATTGTGTTAATACGTGATTATTTCATTACATTTAGACGTTAAAACTGTAATGGATCCAAAATCAAAAGTTTTGACTCATTTCAAGACTACCTTCTCTTTTTGTTTATTCTGATATATTTATGTCCTATAAACAGACCTAACAGCAGGGCAACAATGAAATTCTAGGATGCCTGGTACTGTGAATGTCCTATTCTAGGCAAATGTAAAAGTTTGAACCTGACCTTTATGAACTTCTAAGAAGGTAGGTGGGCCATAGCTTTCTCAAAAGGAGTAAACCCAAAAGGATAAGATAGTCATTTAGACAATTCAGGTTAAGAAGGTTTCTACTGAATATTAGCCATTTCCAAATACACCACCTTAACAGGGAAGGGAATTAAATTATTAGGATATTTGAAGTTTGACTTTTCCTTTGTCTATATAGATAAAATACAAGTTCTAGGATAAAAGTTCTACAACTTGACTTACATGTACTAAAACAACCTTTTTAAAAAATATTTTGTTTAGATAAACAAGGGATCCTATAATCATCTCCTACCTTTCTACATCATGGCAAGTTAATTTTGCAAAAATAGTTTCCAAAGGTGCTATTTGAGATCAATTAAGTTTTATACTTTTAAAATGCAACCATATCATCTTAGTAAATGTTTAACAGTGAGGGAGAATTAATAAGTAGCTTCCTTGAACTGGTATCTCCAAAAGTAAGACAAGCATTCAGAATTTCCAAATAAGTACTGCTTGAAAATCCAAGCAGTTTGAGGCAATAGCAGTAATTAGAAAGTTTATCTCTATGCTTAACTGTCAAACAGGGAAGTGGGGGGTGGGCAACAGCATTGGCCACATTCCCATCCTATTTTGTTAAATCACAGTATATGGAAGACTTCCTCCATAGAATTGCTAAAAACCAATTTACAGTCAAACTGTTAGTAGTTCATCTGAAATTTAAAATAGGGTTAGTCAATGAACTTAGGAAAAAAGGGTTTCTATTTTTATGAAGCAGGTGGGTACCAACTTCTCCCCGCTGTCCAAATAAAGTTCTAATTAGTTCCTCTCCATTCCTCAAATAAAGATGCGTATTTCACAAGTGTAAAAAGTATTTTGATGGGTTTTAAGTTACGTTCTATGATTTTTCATCTGGGAGCTGGTTTTCTAGATATAGCCATTTTAACTACATTTTAACTTGTAGTGGAAGGCATCCAGTTCCAGTAAAATGTATACTGTGCTATGCCAAACTTACATTTACGTGCTATGAATGGGCATATGCAAGCATATACAGTTGATAAAGCAATGCATCTTCCTAGATATTTTCAATAGTTTTATGACTGGTGGAAAAAAATGAGGTGCAGATCAGAAGTTATGCAAAAAATTCTGGGCACCTAGATGTGATTTCATTACTATGGTACTAATTTATTTTTAATTAATTTTCAGGCAAGTTCTATGCCAGCAACACTTCACACAAATTACTGATAAAATAAGTGGTACTTCCCACATGAAACTTCTAGTTTAATGTCATCACAAAATACATGGAATCATATTTTCCCTAAGTTTGACAGAAGGTGCACAGGGATGGGCATGTGGTGGTGCAGAGACAAAAATAAGCTAATTCTTAAGTAAGAATAGGGAAGGTGATATTTCCTATTTTGGCCCAAACTTTTGTATAAAATAAGTTCTTGCAATATACCTCTACTTAGAGCACCACTTCATGATTAAGGACCTTCTAATTAAATGGAGTGACATATGAAAGAAAGCAGAAAATCAACTTGCACAGAGGAGACCCTGAAAGTGATTTTTAAGGGTTTTTTTTTCCCTTCCTAATTGGTAGCATATTTGATTTCTTTTAATAGAAAAGGAAAACCACAGTCCTATGGTGATGCCAAATTTTAAGGGTTTAAAAAATTTTTAAGTTAGTTTTAAAGCAGAAGGCAGATTATCCATAAAGTCATCCCAGTCACTTAACTGAGCTTCTAAAACACATAGAGGACCTTTGCTATGCTGCATATTTTATATATATATATATATACATACACACATGTATTTTATTGCTACATATTATATATATATATACATGTATTTTATTGCTAAGTGTAATGAATATTCTAAACTAAGAGATGTTGTTTAATGAGTAGTAACTTTTAAAAGACGAATTTATTTTTAACCTTCCCAAACTGAAGAGAACGATCCTTGTCCTTCCTAAAAGGTTGTAAAATAACACGCACATTTAAAAAATAAATTTTGCATTCTACTTTTGAGCATGGAATTTAGTTATATTACAGATCTGGGGCCTCCAATAAAATCCAATCACAAGCTAGCATATTTATAGGGCTGTCAACCAAGGCACTATATGCCCATTCAGAACATTTAAGGGCCCGAATTAACTACTGTGGAGCTCAAGACCCATGCGACCCTTATAAAAGTATTATGGAAACAGTCCCCCCCGCCTTAATCCATGAGAACCATATCCTTTATTTATACTGTGGGATGGAAAGATGTCCGTTTTATCGAATTCTACCATTGTACTGTTTTGCATCTGAAATACAGCCCAAGTGTTCTGAGTAACTGAAGTGTACAAATTGTATAAGCTTTTATATAAGTAGTGGCCTAACTGAGGTTGCAGTGGGCTGGAGAAACTTTTAATTGGATCCTTTTCATACCCTTCAGCTCTGAGCTGCATAATTACGAAGCTGACACTGCCTCCTATAACCCTTTTCAATTAACTATGATTATGTTTATTACCAGAAAATGTATTTTGCCAAAGTATAACCCATTCATCCTCCACTTATTGCACAAGGAAATTCATCAGGTTTTGCACCTGTTTCAGTAATGTATACTTTTTGTAATTTAAAAAAAAAAGGACTCTGCCTCTACACAATTCATTTTGCAAATACTGTTAAATATTAAAATAAGGTGATTTTGTGCATAGCCAGCATGTTGAGGTCATACAACTTAATGCAATTTGGTGATTCCATATTGCCACTCTCTGGAGTAAAGTGGCTAACTTAGCAACTGCAGGACCAGAGCTTTCTAATATATTTCTTAAAACGGAGGCTTCCTCTTTCCTTTCTGAGACATTTTCCTAGTAATTTGCCCAAAGCTCTCCAGGTCAACAATGACTACCAACCATTCTTTTGATTGAAAGCCACTACTTTAAGGAACGAATGAAAACTAGGAAGAAAAACCCACACCCTCTGAGCCCCACCTGCATCAGGTGGCCTCTCCACTTCCATAGCTAGGATATTTCCAAATGCACTCCAAATAAGGCACAATTCCCCTACATCCTAGTTATGGGGTTCTGTTTTCTATCTTTAGGCTACGAGAGGACCAGAAGCGAAATACGACTCCACGTGAAACCAATCCGGGGAGCGGTCAGCACCGACCGCCAGGCTCACAAGCCCAGGGCGTTCGCTCTAACTCCACGGGAGTGGCGTTTTCAAACCCGGCCGGGAGAGGGAGGGATCAGGAACGTAATGTGACGGGCTCAAGTGACAGCGTCCTCTCTCCAGCCCAACCCACCCGGGCGGCGCTCCCTCCTGGTGGCAGTGCAGCGCTGGCGCCGGCCAGGTATATTCACGCCTTGCTCCCCCGGGTGTGGACACACAGCCCGTTCCAAGAACCAGGGCAGATCAAACCCCCGCGCACTAGTCGCGTCTCCACGCTGGCGCGGGAGGTGGGTGGGAGGCTTTCCCAGGTGTTTTGGCGGGTTTCCGGACACGTGCGCCTCTCGTCCTCCCCGCTTCCCCGCAGCCTGGGCAAAGCCCACCGCACCAGCTCACGGAGCAGCCGAGCCGCCTGCGACGCTGCTCACCTCCGTCCCCGTAGGTCTCCACGCCGTACCCGTCCTGCAGCCCGTTACTCCAGGTACCCTCGTAGCGAGCGGGGGTGCACAGGCTCTGCCGGACCCCGTAGCGCCCCTTGAAACCATGTGACCACTCCCCCCGGTACATCCACTTGCCCTTCGTCTCCACCCCCAGCCCGTGCCGCTTGCCCTGCGCCCAGTAGCCCTGGTAGGTGTTGCCGCTGGGCCAGGTGTAGCCTCCAGCCACCTCGAAGCCGTGCGACCAGGAGCCCGAGTACTCGCCCTGGCCCTTGGGCCCCGTGCAGATGCCATGCCCGTGCGCCTTGCCCTCCTCCCAGCCGCCGCAGTAGGTGCCGCCATCGTCGAAGTCGAACCTTCCGCCCGTCATTCGGGGGGCAGCCCCGGCGCGCTCCCCGCGGGGGCACGGACGCGGGCAGAGCTGGGCACGGCAGGGTGTAGCTCGGGGATGGGGGCCCGGCGGGCGAGCTCACGACAGCGCCCCGGGCAGCTCGCGCCGCCGCTCGGCTCCAGTCCGACGCCGCCCCCGTCCTCCCCTCTTCTTTCGCCGCCGCCACCGCCGCCTTCCTCCTCCTCCTCCTCCTTCCCCGCCGCCGCCCCGGCCAGCGCCGCGCGCGAGAGGACAGCCCAGGCTCCGGAGCGGACCTTCAGCTGCTCCCGCCCGCCCACGTGAGCCGGGCGCCGCCCCGCGCCCGCCCCTCGTCCCCTCCCCGGGCGCCGAGGCCCGGCCCCGCGGCGCTCCGGCCCCACCCGGCCCTGCCCCCAGCCCCGGGAGCCAACGCTTCCCCGGCGGGCGGGCGAGCGCGGGGAGCGGTTGGCGCGCGTGTGTTCGCGCAGTGGGATGCCGGTGGGGGGCGAGTGTACCCAGGGACGCGCGAGAATCCCTGCCGGTAGACGAAGGCGCGGCTGCATGTGTGGGGGCAGCTCGCGGGCGGCGGAGCCTCCTGTGTTTGTGTTTGGGGTTTATCAAAGTGGTTAAGCTCCTGTAAGTGCGACCACGTGTGCGTTGAGGGAAAACTCCTGTATGCGTGTTTGTCTGCATGGGGTTTGTAGTTGCATTTTTTCGGCATTCCAACTTGTGTACTGTTGCATTTGTCATGCTCAGCTGTCATCGTGAATTAACAGCTCCTAGATAGATGTATGCATGTGATATAAATCTCCGGCAGCCTAGATATAATTGTGCAGAATGTTCTTTTACACCTACCCATTTCTAAGCACATGTGTTTGCATTTATTTAATGAAGATACTGGGCGGGGGGAGCAATGAAATTTGAAAAGGCGCAGACTAAATAGATTAGCTTTTTATTTGTAATAACGAAGAGGATGTTTTTCATCTGTCTTTCCAGGGGTATGAGCTATTTCCTTTCACATCAGAGCCCCTAATGCCTCATTTGTTCTTCTGACAACCTTAGAAATTCTTCAGTCAGGAGCTATGTACCCAACAGGCAGACAGAGCAGTCTTTGAATATTGTGTAAGTATCTGGAATGTACACCTGGTACCTCTCCACCGGTATCCACAGTTTACCAAAGTAAATAGAAGATCTCAAGGAGGAATATGGTAAGTAAGACAGTGCTTAATCTAAACTTACAAAAAGCCTGTGACCTAAAAAACTGGGGACAGGTGTCAGCTGATCTACTTTCCAGCTACAACACTGCTTTGTTGAATTCACTTTAGGCAACTCTTTTGAACTTGCAAACCTCTGTGTCACTATCTGCCTAATGGGAATGACAAGATTTGTTTGCCCCTCTCTATGTTAGATAATAACTGAGTATGTTGTGGTATAGTGCAAAACCAAGAATTAGGGATTTGGTAAAAGGCAAGTTGAATAAGTTAGTATTGTCTCTGGTGAAAGCAGGCATTGGTCTCAACCTCACCCTCAAAATATTTATGGGAGACACCTCTCTGTGGTTCATCGCCTGGAGTCTTAGGTTGGCCTCTCAAGGACACTGCTTTGCAGAGTATTCATGATATTCCTAGGCTGAGAGGCTTTTGGATGACTGGGGGAGCACCAGAGGCTGCCAAAGTTTCTCTCAGTAGGTATTTGATAATCAGATAAAAATGATCTGATGTCAGGGTGTCAGGGTAAGGGAGCAGGAGAAAAATAGATTAAACTACACAGGAAAGGAACCGAAATTGACCTTGATTGGCTCTATCTCAGGATTGGAGCTGGCCTTTCCTGCTTATCTGGCTGAAATACTGAAAGAAAAATCTCAGTTTACACAGAACCAAATCACCAAAGAGAATTAGAAACCCTCATCCACGGCACAGCCTGCAGAGTCGCCCGGAATAGTGCTTACCCTAGTGGCCTGGAATAATTACGCGTCTTGCTCAGCATCTTGTCCTGGACTAGGGATTGATTTAGGCCACTGGGAAAACAAGGGCCCAGGACTTTGCAGCTGAGCCATAATTCCATTTCTCTGTTATGGGGTACACCACGATCAGGATCTAGCATAGAGACGCACATTGCCATCTATTCTGGGGTTCTATTTGATGTGAAAAACAGTGTAGTTACTCAAGTCAACATCTTTTTCTTCTTTTTAAACTGTTTTTCTCATGAAGTAACTTTTGTCCTTTTGCCTTTTTATTGTTTAAAAAATAACACACCCGTTTGTGTTAGAATCCATATATGAACATCTCACGGCTAAGTTTTTGTTTGCAAGCATGGTGGAAACACTTTAAAAAAAATTTTTTTTAATGTTTATTTTTGAGAGAGAGAGAGAGCGCGTGCGCGCGCACAGTAGGAAAGGGGCAGAGGGAGACACAGAATCTGAAGCAGGCTCCAGTCTCCAAGCTGTCAGCACAGAGCCCAATGTGGGGCTTGAACCCACGAACCGTGCGATCATGACCTGAGCCAAAGTCGGACACTTGACCAACTGAGCCACCCAGGCACCCCAGAAACACTTTAAAAAAAAATTTTTTTTAACGTTTATTTATTTTTGAGACAGAGAGAGACAGAGCATGAACGGGGGAGGGGCAGAGAGAGAGGGAGACACAGAATCGGAAGCCGGCTCCAGGCTCTGAGCCATCAGCCCAGAGCCCGACGCGGGGCTCGAACTCACGGACCGAGAGATGGTGACCTGAGCTGAAGTCGGACGCTTAACCGACTGAGTCACCCAGGCGCCCCCAGAAACACTTTTTAAAAAAAACTTTTCCTAATGAGCTCTCATGCAAATGATGGATTTTTCTGAAATAAACTCTCACTGAGCAAGTGTCTGGCTTCTGTGACTGATGTCTACTCCATCTGTGGTGGGTGGACAGAGGATGATGATGCACACATATCTGGATAGAATATGGAGATTAGGGGAAGATAAGAGACAAGGCCATTTGTCTCTTTATCTCTTGCTGTCCGTAATAGATGTCTTCTTTGGAAGGAATCTTCATTAAAAGAGATAATCCACCACCAGATATGTGGTATTCCATTTCAAGTAATTACAATCCTAATCTGAGTCTGCCATTGGCTCTCTTCATGGGAGGAAATTAGTATTGAATTTTTGGTTCAAAATTCAAAAGAACAACTTTGGCACAGTAACCATTTAAGCCATGCTTCCACTTACCTGCTGCCATCACAATGGAATGTTTCCCCAGTCACACTGATGTGTTTGTTAATGTAAGTGTTCAGGTTCAATGGTTGGAGAAGACTGGGAAAGAGAAGTAGAAGGAAGAGGTGCTGACAGTGAGGGCATTGCATATAGTAAGCAGTGGAATAATGTTGCAGTTCACTAGTCGGGGTTAGTAATGTCCTTATTTTCCCTCTCACTCTGAACCTTTGCCCTGGATAAGGGGGAGTTGAATTTAGCTTTAAGAAGGGATTAGTAAGAAGAGAATGTGAATGTTGGTTTGACAGGTGGGATGGGGGAGGCCATCAAAGCCCAGGGGCCAACAACCACTCTAGCAGTTTCTTTTTCTCCATGCTCAAAATTCAACTATTATAGGCTTCTATTCTAAAAAAAAATTTGTAACAAAACGTAAGCCATTTTGAGTGTGAATGTCTAGTGACAACCTGTTGGTGAGGATGTTTTGTTTAGAATTTAATACTTTATGATGAAGATGTGCTTAAAAATGTATTGGGGGACCCCATTTTATTTACATATTGGAATTAATTGTTGAAATTCTTGGTAAATATTTATAAATGACAAAGTCTAATCTGTAGGTGTGTATGGTCTAAAGCGTGTTTGTTGCTTCAACGTGTGTAAAAAAATCACATGCAATTAATTACTGCATTAGGTAAATAAATCAAACTGAGTATCATTATCACATTTGTAATACAGCATTCATAAAAATTTAATGTAGTGTGGAATAGATATAAAAGTTAAGAAATATGGTTATAAGCTCTGCAGACAACTTGATATCAAAAGGGGAAGAAAATTCCAAAATTAATGGTCTTCAAAACTTTGAAGGCAAATACTAAGTGCCAGATGCAGTGCTAAGTTCTTTACATGCATTAATTCATTTAAATCTCATAATAACATAATACCCATGTGATTAATATTAGTGGTATAATTTTTTTTTAACAGAAGAAGAAAATAAAGTTTAAGACATTTATGTGCCTGAGATCATTCTGGGTAGAAATGGTCCAGCTGGGATTCAAACCAGGTCTGTCTGACTCTAGAGGTAGTTCGTTCCCTCTCTCTCTCTAATTTGAGAGAGAGTATGAGAAAGCTGGGGAGAGGGGCAGGGAATGGAGAGAGAGAGAGAGAAAGAGAGAGAGAGAGAGAGAGAGAGAGAGAGAATATCCCAAACAGGCTCTACACTCAGCATGGAACCTGACGTGGGGCTTGATCTCAGAACCATAAGATTATGTCCTGAGCCAAATGCTCAACTGGCTGAGCCACCCAGGCACCTCAGACATGGTTCTCTTTATTACCATCCTTCACTGGAGCAAGGATTAGAGCTTTCAAATGAGGGAAGGAAGTGGCTGGGTGGAGAGCAGGAAGGGCTGGTGAAGGTGACATTTATTTCTTATATTTTAGACTAGCTGGACAGATGAATGGTGATGCTACTGTATAAAATCAAAGAAGTGGAGGAAAGGGGCACCTGGGTGGCTCAGTGGGTTAAGTGGCTGACTTTGGCTCAGGTTGTGATCTTGCAGTTCATGAGAGCCCCCTCGACATCAGGTTCTGTGCTGACACCTCAGATCCTGGAGCCTGCTTCAGATTCTATGTCTCCCTTGCTCTCTGCCACTCCCCTGCTTGTGCTCTCTCAAAAATAAACACACATTTAAAGAAATAATAGAGAAATGGAGGAAGAAGAGTAAATTACAGAGGTGGGAAGATAGGTTTGTTAAGGAGAAAAAGATTCAGAAATATATCCCGGGGAGATGTTCAGTAGACAGTTGGGTAATGCAGGTCAAAAACTAGAAATCAATTAGTC